GACCCAGGGATCAAACCCAGGTCTCCTGCATTGTGGGGCGATTCTTTACCATCCAAGCCACCGGGGAAGCCCATAAGATAGTATAGTATTTGCATATAACCTGTGCACATCTTCCTGTATATTTTAAATCATCTCTAGATTACTTAGAATACCCAATAGAATGTAAATGCTATGTAAATAATTGTAAGCATGGTACAAATTCAAGTTTTTCTCTTTGGAACTTTAATATTTTACAAACATTTTTGATCCACATTTGTTGAATCCTTGGATGTAGAACTTACAGATTAGGAGAGCTGACTGTATAAATTATAACTGTAAGTGCTACGAAGGACAAAGATGAGGCATGTATGGTAGAAGACAGTGATAGGTGGCAGTCATATCAGACATTAAAAACAAGACATTAATAAGGTATAAGGTGATCTATAATGGTGGCCTGCTGGTGGGGATGGCAGGGAAATGACTACCTGAGACCAGCTGAGCTGCTGTATAGATCCACCTGAGCAGAATTCAGACTTGCAAGTGTTCAGTCATGATTCCACAGTAAGAGTTTAATCGTATTGGTTCCTCAGGTCCTCAGTCAGATACACTAAATATCTGATGAGTCAATTCAAGTGGAGTTCCAGCAAGCAGGCATCAGTGAGAAGAATGTTTGAGGCAAAGGGTAAGGCAACTGTAAAAGCCTGAGTGAGGTTTATTTATTTATCCTGATATATTTAAGAGCAGGGTGGCCAGTTTGACTGGAGAGAAAGTGGTAGGGGTTGGTGATGTATCCAGGGACTAGCGCATGGAGGGCTGCTTATGTCAACGTAAGGAATGTTGGCTTTATTCTAAATGTAATAGGAAGCTGTCGATAATTTTAGGTAGAAGAGTGGCATGACCTTAATTATATTTTAAATAGATCTGTCTGTCTGCAGTGTGAAAACAATCAAGAAGGGTTTAAGAGTGGGAGCAGGAAGTCAGATAGGAGGTTGTTGCAGTGATCCAGAAAGAGAAAACAGTGGCTTAGACCAGGGAGATGGAGGCAGAGAAACGGAGAGCAATCAGGTTTGGGTAAGTTTAAAGGCGAAGCCTATAAAATATGCTGTCTCCTGCAGGTCATCCTGTAGCAATGTGGTTTCCATTCACCATCCCACATGAGCTGGTTTGGTTCATTTTCCAGACTCTTGTACTCCTGTTGCTCACTTGCTCCATAAAGTGTCCTTTCCAGTCACATCACCTGTTGCCTCACCTGAGTGGGGAGAGCATGCTCCCTGCCCCTCTGATGTGCCTCACGGTGCTTGATCACAGCATGCATGCCTTGTCTGTTCCTCCAGAGTGACTTTCCCCCAATGATACTTCTTGATCTCTCAAGCAAAAAGGCCCTATTGATCCCATTCCTTGGCTCTCCAGGCAGTACTGGGTGTGTCCTATCGAGGCACTACCCAACGACAGCCTCCTCAAGAGTCTCTGAAGTACCGTGGGCAGAACGTTAAGACTGTGTGGTGCAGTCACCTTTAAGCCCCAGTATATCAGTTAATGATTTTCACCATTGTAGGAATCTTAGAACTTTAAATGATGAAACCAGCTTATGGTGAATTGAACAACAGCATTCACTCATATTTGAAAGCACTTGTTCTTCCTCTTATAACGTGGCTCATTTATTTAATTTTTAAATGTTTTCTTACCTTTGATTTCCTTTGTGTGCTTTATCCTGAAAATTATCCCTTGAATCTGTAATTTGAGGGATAAGCTTTTAAGCTTTTCTGGAACCAAGAAAGGATTTCTATGTTAAATAAATGAACAAATAAATGAATATTTAAGTAAATAAAATATGTTGTCTTAGAGAGCTTACAGTGAAGACCTGGAAAAAAGAAAAACTATTTACCAAATAGAGAAAAGCTTCACAAGGCATCTTAAAGCTTGTTTTTCACATGTATGAAAGGCAATGATGAACTAAGATTGAATTTCTTTGAGTACAGGACTTTAGAAAGTGATCTCAGGTATTTTTTCAAATTGCAATATATTTGACATATAACACTGTGTAAATTTAAAGCATGTGTCTGTTGTGTCACTCAGTCATGTCCGACTCTTTGTGACCCTATGGACTGTAGCCTGCCAGGTTCCTCTGTCCATGGGATTTTCCAGACAAGAGTACTGGAGTGGGTTGTCATCCCCTTCTCTAGGGGATCTTCTGGACCCAGGGATCAAACCCGCATCTCCTGTGTTCCCTCCATTGGCAGGCAGATTCTTTACCACAGATTCTGAGCCACCTAGGAAGGCTTGAGATTATCCTTTCTAATGTGTTGAATATATTAGTGTAACCATTTTGTAAACTGATAAAAATCCAAACACTATTAAGCCAAATAAACAACTCACAATTTTCTTTTCTACTGGACATTTAAAATGAACCATTTTAACATGTTGATTTGATACATTAAAGTATTATAATGTGATTGCCATGTGCTATGCTGTGCTGTGCTAAGTCACTTCAGTCGTGTCTGACTTTTTGTGACCCCATGAGCTGCAGTCTGTCAGGCTTCCGTCTATGAGATTCTCCAGTCAAGAATACTGGAGTGGGTTGCCAATTCCTTCTCTAGGCATCTTCCTGACCCAGGATTGAACCTGTGTCTCTTATGTCTCCTGCATTGGCAGGTGGGTTCTTTACCACCAGTGACACCTGGGAAGCCCTGCGATTGCCCTAGAAGTGATAATTAGCACCTGTATGATCTTGAGAACATATCATGCTGCTAAGCCACTTCAGTTGTGTCCGACTTTTTGTGACCCCATAGACGCCAGCCAACGAGGCTCCTCTGTCCCTGGGATTCTCCAGGCAAGAACACTGGAGTGGGTTGCCATTTCCTTCTCCAACGCATGCATGCATGCTAAGTTGCTTCAGTCGTGTCCGACTCTGTGCAACCCCATGGATAGCAGCCCACCAGGCTCCTCTGTCCACGGGATTCTCCAGGCAAGAATACTGGAGTGGGCTGCCATTTCCTTCTCCAGAATATATCATAAATACTCAAAAATAGAATATGTGTTTACTAGGAAGAATTTCTGTCCAAAGAAAATTGTGATATATTGGGAAGAATTAATGAAAGTAGTTATGATTGGGGCTTTTTAGATGATTCTTTAAAAAAGTGTTTTCTTCTGCTTCAGAAGTTCTACACGGAAAAGAAGACAGAATAGATGGGTTAAATAAAAAGTAATTCTTACAAGTGAAAAAATACAATATGTAACTTATTTTTGGAAAAAATTTTAAAATAGCATGTGGTTTTAAGGTATTTTGATGAAAACTTTTGGTTTTATAATGCACACATTTAAAACAATTTTAAATGAGCTAATTAGAGGAGAAAATGATGACTTATGGGCAAAACACAATAGCAGATCAAATTTGTGATATTTTTTCTTGTTTGTGCTTCTATAGTCAGTTTGAGGACTAGCGCTCTAATTGACTGTAGGTTAGAATTGCCAGACCTGATTCAACCATTCACTGAAACCAGAATACATATTGCTATTAGGGTTAAGGATGAATAATTTAAGAAATATTTTGGGGGAGCTCTTTTCACACTGAAACTCTAATCAGTAGGTAGAATTTAATAGCACCTGGATTAAGCAGAAACCAATGAGGTAAACATTGCTTCCTCTCTACCCATCAAAAAAATTTCTCCTTTGCACCAGAAATTTTTAAAGGGAAAAATCATTCAGAGTATATATTTTTTGAGTACCTGGAAGGCATAGCAAGTTAGCTGAGAGCCTCTCACAGGAGAGAAAAGATATATATGCTTTTGGATCAGAGAGGAATTCACAGCAAAATGTACTCTATTGGGCTACCAGTCAAAGTGGCTTATCTGTGCTGCTTGCCAGTTAATACACACAGATTTGCATACACACCCACACACACCTACTGCCACTGGTGCTCTCCAAGATTCAGTGTCAAGCAAGGGAATTTCCATCCAGACACCACTCACTTGCCTTTTACCACATTTCTTTTTCCTCCCTTTGGATTGACTGGCTTCAATATGTCACACTGTTGATTGTTAGCTTCTTGAAGTAACTTATCCTTTGTTTCCATAACTTCCTGGGGGACCATAAAGACACACTCTTATCATACATGGTAGAGTGGCTCCTGGCCTGTTGCAGGCTTGGCCTAGATTGAGCATTCTGGGAGTGACTGCCTCTGTAGACACAAGCAAATTGAGATGTGGGTTACGTGTGCCTGAGTCTCCTAGGACCCAAGTGGGAGCATGATTTCAACTTAAAAGCACTAACTTTAGGCCAGAGAGAATCCATGTTTCGGGGGCATTGCTGCATCCTTACAAAGGCTGGTGTGAGCCTAAGGGAAGTGCAGTTTCCTATTCTGATTTTTTTTTTTTAATTAGCTGAGGGTAAAATGATGATATTTTCTGGATCTTGTGGTATCTGTAGTATGTATCGCTTTTCAAAATCTGTAACTTGTTTTCACTGTCTCAGTCTTATCCTCTGATTCTAAGAGCAAGATGAATTTAATAGCATGTAAATTCAGTTGTTTTTTTTACTTTTTAAAAATCAGCTGTTTTAGATAGTCAACGAATTAATAGTAAAAAAAGAGAAAGAACAAATTTGTTACCGGTATCCCTTGTTCTCGTGGTGACTGCAGAAATTTCTTTTTTAGTTTTATGTTTCACACTTTCACACACACATAACAACATAGCTTAAATAAATTTGTTTTGTTAACCTAGCATTATTTGTTATGGATAAAATGCTAAATATCAAGCAAGTTGTGTTTTGATTAAATAACTTAAACATTTGGTTTTGGTTATCATAAACCTACTGATTTACTAAGTAAAACTTTTTACTACTTTTTTTTTTTTTTTGATAATAGGTGCTAAGTCAATTCAATCGTGCCCGACTCTTTATGACCCCACGGACTGTAACCCTGCCAGGCTCCTCTGTCCCTGGGATGGCACTAGTTTTATTTCTTCGGGGTTCCTGAGGAGCACTGGGGATAGGAGTAGTTATGGGGTAGCTATATGGTCATGGGCTTAGGCGGTGGGCATCTGGGGTGCCTCAGCTTGCGAGTGCCCATTGGTGTCACCAGTAAAGCCACTGGGGGAGGTGGGCGCTGCTCCTTTCTTACAAGGCACAGGGCAGGCAGTGGCCACAAGCCCAACTCGCTTGAGGACAGGGCGTTTCATCTCGCGCTCCAGAAGCGCGTGCTTCTGTAGTGGGAGCCCCATGCAGACTCTGAGGGTACTCTCAATGCAGCTGGTGCTGGCGGAAGAGTGGGTTGGCCACCGGGCTGCCCCATCGCCCAAGCTGTGCTTGCAAGAGGAAGCCAAGCCGAGCAGCGACAGCACCAGTTGGAAGCTCTGTAGCTCTGGGTTGACATCTGTGCAGAAGATCACGTGCCGGCATGGTTTGGCAGCGGCTCCAGGTCCGGCATGAGGGGCTGGCCAGGAGAGAGTCCTCGAACGTGTTGTGCAGTTCCAGCCTGTTGGTACAACCCAGCATCCGCTCTGCTGTGTACTCATCCAGGACACGCTTGCCGTCGCCCACGTGTAGCACGTGCTTGATGACCATGCAGTGACCCGGCTCCTCGCCCTGCAAGTAGAGCGTTGCGTGGCCGTGCACCACCATCTCGTATACCGCGCTGCTCGTGGACACTTCCTTGGAGCGGAACTGTGTTGGCGCTGACCGGTTCTGCCCGTCATTGTTGCCAGGTGGCTGTAGCTCACGATGGACAAGGTCTTGAGGCCAGAGACAATAAGGAAGTCCACGAGCACAAACCTGACCTTGGTCTGGCCTGACTGATAGTCGTCTGCACCCACAAAAACACGGCGCTGCCACGTGAGCTCCAGGGCTCCAGGCGTGGTCCGTGGGTACCCACCAAGGCAAGCGCAGCCCTTCAAGATGCTGGCCATCGTGGACAGCGTGGAGGGCAACACTTCCAGGCCCAGCTGGACGGCGTGCAGCAGGCTCTCAGCGGTGTCACTGAGACCCAGGAGAACTTTGCAGAAGCGCTCTGGGTTCGCGGTCCACACCACGAGGACGTCCCCTCCGGCTGCTGCGTGCGCGCGCGTGCCCGGGAGGACGTCGTCGGCGTGCGCGCTCTGGTTAGTTAGTTGCGAGGAACTCAGGGGATACAGGCAGAGCCGAGAGAGCTCAGAGTCTCCAAGAGCGGCCACAGTAGCCCCTGCAGAGCCCGTGAGTGCTGTGACACCTCCTGCAGGTTCAGAGATGATCATGCTCGAGTCGGAGAACAGGCGGTCGTCGAGCACCACTGGGGGCAGTGAGCTGAAGGTCACGAATAGCTCCTGGCCCTCGTTGTCCAGACTCGGGCTAACGAGGGCCGCGGGCGTCAGCCAGTGGTTGTAGCTGGCCTCCTTGCGGCGGGTGCACATGGCCCAGGACAGGTGCAGTCCAGCATGGCAGGGCTCAGCCTGGAGTGGTTGTTCCTATCCCAGCCTAGCAGGACCCCAAGCTGCGGCACCTGCTGGGCGGCCTGCTGGGTGAGCACGTGGCCCTGGCTTCGCGGTTGACAAATGTGATCCAGTACTTAATGTAAGTCCTTGGCGTCCGGCTGTAGACCGCAGCGGGCTCTCAACCTTGAACTTGGTTTTCGTCCATCACAAGGAATGGTGCGGAGTCGGCGGGGACAGCAGCAGGTGGCTAAGTAAAACTTTTTATAAAACTTTTAATAGAGCTATAAAGTTATCCTATTTTTTTAATTTTATTTAAAGAGATAACACATAACAGTTTAAGTTCAACTTGGTTTGATTCAAACATATCCTTCTCGACCTAAGACTGTATGAAACATTTTATCTGGGCATTTCACTGAAAACGAGTCCCTTTGTGTGTGTGTGTGTGTGTGTGTGTGTGTGTGTGTGTTTAAATTGGAGGATAATTGCTTTACAATGTTATGTTGGTTTCTGCTGCACAAAAATGCGAATTTAGCCCTAAGTATACATATATCCCGGGAGTTGGTGATGGACAGGGAGGCCTGGCGTGCTGCGATTCATGGAGTCGCAAAGAGTCGGATACGACTGAGCGACTGAACTGAACTGAAGTGAAGTGATACATAAATCTCCTCCCTCTTGAGCCTTCCTCCCACCTCCCTGCATCCCACCTTTCTGCTGCTGCTGCTAAGTCATGTTAGTAGTGTCCGACTCTGTGCGACCCCGTAGACGCCAGCCCACCAGGCTCCTCCGTCCCTGGGATTCTCTAGGCAAGATCACTGGAGTGGGTGGCCCTTTCCTTCTCCAATGCATGAAAGTGAAAAGTGAAAGTGAAGTCGCTCGGTGGTGTCTGACTCCTCGCGACCCCATGGACTGCAGCCCACCAAGCTCCTCCATCCTTGGGAGTTCCCAGGCAGTGGGCTGCCATTGGCTTCTCCGTCCCACCTCTCTTGGTCATCACAAGAGCACCTGGTTAAACTCCCTGTGCTGCTTCCCACTAGCTAGCTAGTTTACACGTGGTAGTGTGTATCTGTTAGTGCTACTCTCTGGACATGTCCCACCCTCCTTCCCCTCCTGTGTGCACAAGACTGTCCTCTGCCTTTGGGTCCATTCCTTCCCTGCAGATAGGTTCATCACTACCATTTTTCTAGATTCTAACACACCCTCTATGTGTTAATATAGGGTATTTGTTTTTCTCTTTCTGACTTACTTCACTCTATATAACATGATCTAGGTTCATCCACCTCAGTTCACCTGACTCCATTGCCTTTCTTTTTATAGTTGAGTAATATTCCATTGTACATTTGTACATCTGTCCATTCATCTGTCGATAGATGTGTAGGGTGCTTCCATATCCTGGCAATTGTAAATAGTGCTGTAATGGACATTTTGGTACACGTGTCTTTTTGAATTATGGTTTTCTCAGGGTATATGCCCAGTAATGGGATTGCTGGGTCATAAAATAGTTTTATTCCTAGTTTTTAAAGAAATCTCCATGTTACTTTCCATAGTGGTTGTATCGATCTGCATTCTTGCCAACAATGCTAGAGGGTTCCCTTTTCTCCACATCCTCTCCAACATTTATTGTTTGTAGATTTTTTGGGGATGGCCATTCTGACTGGTGTGAAGTGGTACCTCATTGTAGTTTTGATTTGCATTTCTCTAATAATGAGTGATGTAGAGCATCACTTGTTGTGTGTTTGTTAGCCCTCTGTTTGTCTTTGGAGAAATGTCTGTTTATTTTATTTTATTTTTTCATTTATTTTTATTAGTTGGAGGCTAATTACTTTACAATATTGTAGTGGGTTTTGTCATACACTGACATGAATCAGCCATGGATTTACATGTATTCCCCATCCCGGTCCCCCCTCCCACCTCCCTCTCTACCCAATCCCTCTGAGTCTTCCCAGTGCATCAGGCCTGAGCACTTGTCTCATGCATCCAACCTGGGCTGGTGATCTGTTTCACCCTAGATAATATACATGTTTCGATGCTGTTCTCTCGAAACATCCCACCCTCGCCTTCTCCCACAGAGTCCAAAAGTCTGTTCTGTACATCTGTGTCTCTTTTTCACTTTTGCATATAGGGTTATCATTACCATCTTTCTAAATTCCATATATATGTGTTAGTATGCTGTAATGTTCTTTATCTTTTCTGGCTTACTTCACTCTGTATAATGGGCTCCAGTTTCATCCATCTCATTAGAACTGATTCAAATGAATTCTTTTTAATGGCTTAGTAATATTCCATGGTGTATATGTACCACAGCTTCCTCATCCATTGGTCTGCTGATGGGCATCTAGGTTGCTTCCATGTCCTGGCTATTATAAACAGTGCTGCGATGAACATTGGGGTGCATGTGTCTCTTTCAGATCTGGTTTCCTCGGTGTGTATGCCCAGAAGTGGGATTGTTGGGTCATATGGCAGTTCTATTTCCAGTTTTTTGAGAAATCCCCACACTATTCTCCATAGCGGCTGTACTAGTTTGCATTCCCACCAACAGTGTAAGAGGGTTCCCTTTTCTCCACACCCTCTCCAGCATTTATTGCTTGAAGACTTTTGGATAGCAGCCATCCTGACTGGCGTGTAATGGTACCTCATTGTAGTTTTGATTTGCAAGAAATGTCTGTTTAGATCTTCTGCCCATTTTTTGATTGGGTTGTTTGTTTTTCTGATATTGAGCTGCATGAGCCGCTTGTATATTTTGGAGATTAATCTTTTGTCAGTTGCTTTGCTTGCAACTCCTATTCTGAGGATTGGCTTTTAACCTCATTAATAGTTTCCTTTGCTGTGTGAAAGCTTTTAATTTTAATTAGGTCCCTTTTGTTTTTATTTCCATTACTCTTGGAGGTGGGTCAAAGAGGATCTTGCTGTGATTTATGTCAAAGAGTGTTTTCCTATGTTTTTCTCTAGGAGTTTTATAGCTTCTGGCCTTACATTTAGGTCTTTAATCTATTTGAGTTTATTTTTGTGTATGGTGTTAGGGAACATTCTAATTTCATTTTTTTTACATGTAGCTGTCCAGTTCTTCCAACACCATTTATTGAAGAGGTTTTCTTTTCTTGCCTATTTGTCTTACATAGCTGATGTCTTAACTGACATCTCCTATAAAATTAGTGAAGGGATGACTTAATTCCTTTTATTTCATGACAGTTAATTTCTGTAAACTCACACAATCTTACAATTCTTTTATTGTCAGATTTAATATAAAATCTTAGATGGAATGACTAGGGTATAGAATCGAAGAATATATGTTGACACAATTTTAAAAACGAAATTGTTTGCATGTTTATTTACCTATGATAAATAAATATTTACTCTGTGAGGGCTTTCCTGGTAGCTCAGCTGGTAAAGAATTCTCCTGCAATGTAGGAGACCTGGGTTTGATCCCTGAGTTGGGAAGATCCCCTGGAGAAGGGAAAGGCTACCCACTCCTGTATTCTGGCCTGGAGAATTCCATGGACTGTATAAATCCATGGAGTCACAAAGAGTCGGATGCAGCTGAGCGACTTTCACTTTACTTTATGAAGCCCTTTAAACACTAGATGGCACTAAAAATATATCATGATAAATTTTGTTATTCATCAAGCAGATGTAGTATTAATTTTATGACCTTGTAAGTTGGTACATACTTTGTTTAAATTTTTTTAACATTTAAAACAACTGAAGTGCTACTAGTGCAGTTGATTGTTGAAAGAGGTAATAAAATCACCAAACTAGAGAAATACAAAATTTGTAATTAAAGCTATTCAGTGTTCAGTGGACAACAGATATTACCTTTCTGAAGGCTTTTTCTTCATATGTGTTTGCTCTCTAAATTCACTAAGGGAAAGAACTACTTTGCAAATGAACTTAATGGATAGGTCCTTTTTATTTGTTTGGCTGCGCTAGATCTTAATTGTGGCAGTTGGTATCTTTGATCTTCATTGTGGTGGCATGTGAACTCTATATTGTGGAATGTGGGATCTAGTTCCCCAACCAGGAATTGAACTGGGACCCCCTGTATTGGGAGTGCAGAGTCTTAACCACTGGACCACCAGCAAAGTCCCCAATGAATAGGTTCTTGAACTGTTTAATAATCTGATTGATGATGTAGCATGACATCTGAGCACATTGATAAAAGATTTAAATTCTTGACATGTAGTACTTCCTCCAGCAAAAATAACATAAAACTAGTTATATGCCACTACATGAGGACATCAGTGACTTATGATAGATTTATCGTCAGTTCAAGGAATATTTCCAATTAGTCACTGCACAGAGAGCTTTGAAATGACCCAAAATATCACATAAAGAGTTTCCTAAATCTGACAGCTGTCCTAAAATTTTACCCATTATTAGTAGATAGTTTGTGAAGCTGAAAGAAACTTTTATATACTATTGCAAGAAAACACAGTAGGATCAAGTGTGCTGGAGGAAAGCCCGAGTTATCTTCTTTGTCCTGTGGAGGCAGGATTGATGAGGATAGCCAGTCACCAGGCAGAGGTGTGTTAGGTGGTAACATAATTCAGGTGTTCCATAGTGTCTGGATCTTGTGATATTTGTAGTATTTGCCTGCTTTATAAAGTTCCTCATTTGTTGTGACTTCTCATTGCAAACATGTTATTCATTTTTGTATGTAATGTTGTATTTTTTCTTAAATGGGGTTCAAAAATGGTATAAGCTTCAGATTGCACAAATTATTCATTTTTAGCCCATACAGTCTCTGCTTTTTTTTTCACTATTGGACTTTTGTTTATGTTGTTTTCTTTGTTTTTATGTCCTTTCTCTCAATATTGCCTTTCTAATTTCTACTTGCCTAGGACTATAAGACCTGGTACATATATCATATTTCCTTCATGAAAAGGGCTTTGATCTCTCTCTCAAAACTACATTTCCTTAAGTCAATCAAGAATAATTTCTCCATCATCTAGAGAAATGTATTTTTATTTCTTTTGTGACATGTT